TTTCAAACGGCAATTTAATACCGTCCTCTGTTTCGCTCTCTCAGCGAAGCCTTGTAAATCGCAAAGTGTTTCGAGTAGGCTTACATGCAACTGCATCTCAACATCAACCAAAAGATTTTCTTGAGGAACATATAACGTATCAAGTCTGTTTGAAATTAATGAAACTCAAGTAATGGTTACTATAGTTTACCCCAGTCGTAATGTTGCTATTCCAACACCTCACGACAAGCAATCCCCATTGGCATAACGGCAAAAACACCTCTTCCTTCAAGTAAACAATAAAGTGATCAATTTTCGGATTTTAAGCATATGGAGACCCTTTGTGATGAATCACTGAACTAATTATAAAATCCAACAGCAAACAGCCAATCAGAATGCCGCGTTCGTGGGCGAACGCGGAAAGTACAAAATACCAGGCCTTGCCTGCAGGCCCACTATCAGTTCCCATGGGCCTGCACGCGGGCTAGTGTAAGATTCACAAAATGTTACGGTAAGATTAATACCCTAGTTTGGCAATTGGTTTAAATTTCATTCAAGTTAATTACTTAGTTTGAGTTAATCCCAAGTTAAATTTGATAGTATTAATTGTTAAAATTCTATCAGTTCAAACATGTAACAAGTTACATATTATCAATGTTAATTAAGATGTGACATGACAAAACCAGAAGACTTTTATCGTTTGGATGACATCCGCAGGACTTTGGATGATATAAGGAGATGTTGCCTTAGAGTTCAATTCTCATGTGAACGCCCTCCACTGCTCAATATTCCATTGGAAAATGTTGTCCTGGATGAGCTTCATTTAATGTTGAGAATTACAGATATGTTTGTGTCCTAAGGAATTTTATTTCATCACCTAAAGATTCTGCATAAGGTCCTGTCTTATATATTGCATGTGATTTAATCAACAGACAAGCTCATTGGAAATCTGGTAACTGAAGCGATCGAAAGGGACAAGAAAGACAATATAAGCAAAGCACCTTGTGATCGCCAACCGCTTCATCTTAACAACTTGGTCGAGGCTATATGTGGTTGTGGGGTGTCATTTCCGGTGTGGGAAAAGCCAAATGCTGACTGCAGAGGAAGTGGAGTTTATGACTTCACTAGTCTGATGGGAACGGACAAGAAGATTCTTCTTGAAAAGCTACCATCAAAACTACATACTGTCACCAGTCCAGAAACAAGTGCCACAGTCATTAAAATTTGGCAGGTACATACTTACATAGACTTGCGATTTAGAAAATGCATGTCACATGTGTCACTGAAATGAATAAGACCCCAATAGAAAGGCCAATAATTATACAAATCAAACAGAAAGCTATCACAGGTAAATATAGATGTGTTCTGTAAAATTGACTTTCTTTCACAGGATTTCAACCGACCTAAACCTAGGCCATCTATTTTTATCCCCGAGCCGACGGCGCGAAGCGCCGTGCGAGGGTACTAATAATCCCCCAGGCTATTTACACCCGGGGAAACGAAAGCATTAGCGAAGTCTAAAGTTCATCAATTATCGCGGGCGTGGGTCACCAACGATGGGTGGTCATCCTCACTGATCTAAAAAATATGGCGGACTGTCATCAATAGCGAACACTGTGATTCGTCCAATTTAAAGTTTGCATTATAACGACTGCATGACGACAGCGAAATAGCAAACATTTCTTGATAAATTTCTTGCAAATATATTTCATTTTTGCTCGCATTTTTGCAAGATTTTGTAAATTTCAAAAGGTTTCTCAGAAAGAAAGGGCGAAAGAATCGGCTAAAAGAAGAGAGCGGACGTTAGATAAGTTTGTTTTAAATATTGATTTTATAATGGCTTCAAAACCCGACGGCCTTTTATTACAAGGCAGCAGCATATGATTTCAGTGTATCTTTGATATTGATTCCCCTTTTAAAACGTTTTGCGAAGCGTTTGTGGTTGAATTGTACCTTAAAGTGTTCTTTATAAAACTATAAAACTGACTTTAATTAAATGGCTTTATCGATAAACTTTCAGTTCGCAATAAAATGATTTCAAATTCTCGCTTGTAAATAATTTTGCTTTCTTTTTTATTTAAAAAATTCAATACAATAAGTGAAGCTTATATTACGTGTAATAACATACCTAACATATATATGTTGGGAAATTGATAATTTTGTAATTAAAAGTGATATTTTTAGGCAATTTTTCTTTTGTATTAAGAATATTCTTAAAAAATTATCGTGTTACCTTGAAAACTATACTTCAGATACTTCATGTTCGGAAAATACAATGGTTTTGTCTGCAAGGCGAAGGTTTCTGCATGCATGTATTTTCTAGTTTATATTTTTTTAATATTGAGCGCTTTTTCACATGAAAAGACTGGGACTAGGTGATTTGGAGGCGGGGCGGAGGAAGGACGCAACTCACGCAAGCGAAAAAATAGAAGGCCTAGTGGATTTTATTATTATTATTATTATTATTATTATTATTATTATTTTTATTATTACCATTATTGGAAGTATTCCCCGCAGGGCTTTTCAATACTTATTTACAAATGATACTTTTTACAGCTTAATTAATGTTTATAAAAATGATTACAAAAGGAATTTATAAAAAGTTTAAATGTAGCGCAATAAAATAAATTTCAATAAGAATAAGTTTCTTGCATGCATGTTAAAACTAGTGTTTTTATATATTTATAAGCATTCAAGTTTCAAAATATCGATTTAGTAAGAATTCTTTTAATTTGATTTTAAATGTTGCTAATGGGAGCTTTTTTAACTCATTGTCTAAACTATTCCATAACCCAACAGCTCTATATCGAAAACTTCTTTGTCCTGTTGTGCTTGAGCATAGGGGAATATGTAGTGCTTCATTGTTTCTTGTGGCGCCATTGTTTAGTCCCTTACGTTTAATAAATAGGTCGCACAAATATGTTGGAGCGAGATTATTTATACATTTGTAGATCATGACCAAATCTTTGAACAACAGGTGCTCTTTAACAGGGAGCCAACCAATATCTTTAAGGATTGGTGTAATATGATCACTGATTTTTTTCCCATTAGCTATAATTCTGCACGCAAAATTTTGGACGGCTTGTAGTTTCTTAATATTTGAAGAACTCGTATTTGACCAAACTGTTGAACAGTAATATACCCATAACTACCGCGCAGATTATATAAATCAGCGTCTTTTGATCGAAACAATGTTTGACACGATTAATTTGACACAGTTTAGCCATACACTCTGATGAGAGCTGGGTTATATGTTCGTTATATGTCAAGTTGCGGTCCAGGATTATTCCAAGGTCGCTTATGGAAGTGACAGGAACGATTTCATTATTTAAAAAATTCAAAGACATATCATCTGATAGTAAATTTAGTAACTGTAGCGTTCCAACTAACAGAAACTTGGTTTTCTCGGGATTAATCAATAATGAATTTTTGCAATACCATTCGGCTATGAGGCGAAGGTCAGTCTCAAGTTTGTGTTTGGCGTCTGACACTTCTTTGGCAGAGAATGACAGAGATATCTTGGAATCGTCAACAAACGAGTTCAGATCACATGACTGCGTCACTGTTGGAAGGTCGTTTGTATATATACAGAAGAGCAATGGTCACAAAATAGCCCCCTGCGGTACACCGTGGGTAATATGGAGAGCTGCAGACAAAGATGAACCAATGCGGACTTTTTGAAAACGTCTGGTTAGATAGCTTTCAAACCATTTAACTGTTTCCTGGGATACTCCAATAGCACTTAGGTTTTTTAATAAGATTGAATGACTGATACTATCAAAGGCTTTTGAGAGGTCAATTAAAATAACGCAGATAATTTCTTATTGTCCATTGCATCCAATAAATGATCGGTAATTAATAAGTTTAAAGTTTCAGTAGATGTTGTTTTTTATTGCCGCTTTGCTGTACACTAAGTCGTTGGTTGCGTGTTAAATAGGAATTAAATTGGTTGAGGACAGCTCTCTCACAAATTTTTGAAACAGTATTTAGGAGGGAAAGAGGGCGATTATTTGAAGCAACATCGTGATCACCGTCTTTTAATAAGGGAATAACTTCGGCTAGTTTCATATCATCTGGGAACGTTGATGTGGCGAAGGAGCAATTGATAATGTTGGTAATTGGACCAAGAACAACAAGAAGGCAATCTTTTAAAACACTCATACTAACTTTGTCCGGTCCTGGTGTTTTGTTTGAAGGCATAGACATGATAATTCGTTTAATATCAGTACACGAAACGGGCGATATATGAAACATTTCATGCGTGGTCTGTGCAGGTGATATTGCAGTAAAGGAGCTTGAAATTGGTCCGTTAAGATTATTGTCCAGGGCTACTTGAGCTGCAGCGTTTGCAGTTTTTTCTCCAACAGCGATAAAAAATTGGTTGAATTCATTTGCAATCTGATCCGAATCTTTACTATAACATTGAATTTTTCTTTCTTTGCTGGGAATGCAACGATTGATAATTTTCCATAAAGATGTTGTGTTGTTTTTATGGGCTAATATTTCGCCGCGAACATATTCTTTCTCTGCGTTCTTTAGGGCAATTTTAACTGATTGTCTCGCGTTTTTATACGTTTTCCAATCTCCGACATCACGTGAAAATTTGAATTGCCTGTGAAGTTGATCCCTGTGTGCCATCAAATCCTTTATATTTTGAGTGATATTGGGGCATGGACGATTACGAACTCTGATCGTCTTAACTGGTGCATGAGTTTGTAAGGTGGATAATAGAGCGTCATTTAATATTGATAATTTTGAGTACACATCGCTTTCCGTAAAAATTGATTGTAAAAATTTCTCGTGTTTGGAAACGAGGTTTGCTGTAAATAACATAGGGTTATAGTTTTTAAAACTACGCACAGTGATGTAACTTCGTGGTTGTTTAGAAAGTTTTAAGTTCAGTACCATGTAAACCGAAAAATGGTCACTTATGGAGGTTTCAATAACTCCACTTTCCTTTACAAGATCCGGAGTCGAGGATATTACAACGTCTATTAATGATTCACTAGATTCAGTGATCCTAGTGGGTGAAGTAATCAATTGTTTGAGGTTCAATTCAGTTTCAAAATTCAGCAATGACAAACCGTCAGGATTTTGTTGTAAAAGATTGCAATTTAAACACTTAGAATTATAACAGGCTTATTTAGCGATATATAAGGCGTATGTCGAAGAAGAAAAAATCCTCAAAACAGGAAACATGACAGTCAGGAGGTCTATAAACAGCACAGATTACGAATGATCCGTAACGGACAAGTCCTTCATGCAATATTTGCGCCTTTAACCCTATTGGTACCGGGGTTTTTTCATGTTGAATTGACCGGGGGTGCGCTGATAGGGCGCAACCCTCAGAAATCCTGTCGATTAACTGCCATTATCCTATAAGTTTTATTTTTAGTAAGTTTTATCTTCCTTTAACCTAAAAATAACAAAAAGTTAAATTCACATCCAAAATGCTGTTTTTTGGCCCCATAGAATATGACCGCCTATCCCAAAATGGCGAATATAGCTAATATTTTACCCATTTTGGTTATATTTATTAAGGCAGGTGAGCTACGAGCTACGAGCCTGCAGTATAGTTTTGAAAACACAATATTTACTTTGAAAATCATGGCAATCAGTGGCAACTTTATGCAAAAGTTTTGGAACATTTCTTCTACGAAAGTGTTCAATATATAATACAGAAAGACAGGGAGATGTTATGCCTTGAAGGTACAAAGAAATATGTGTATTTGAGTATATAAAAATATAAATAAGTATTTTATATTATATATAAAGTATTGTATAGTATGCTATATCATATGTTACTATACTTTTCTATTTTATGTACTATATTTTACTCTTTTATATAATATATTATGTGTATTTTAGTTTGCAAATCATGTGTAATAATCCATCTTTATATGTTCTCTAATTATATTATGTTATTTATGTCCTGGGAAGTGATTCAGCCAAAAAATACTGTCCAACCCACATTTTCCCATTTTTGGCCCCGACACCTTGTTTGACAAATGTCGGCAAATATCCGGATAACTTTGAATTTTCAGAAATTTTTTTTCGCAGTCATGACGGCGGAGGAAAAATATTAAAAGTCATGAAAGCACAGGCAAATGGGATAATTTGTTCAGGAATGACGGATATATATTTATGGGGGTGCGCTCATTGTGCGCACCCCCAGGTACAAATAGGGTTAACGGGCTACGAATGTGCGCGCACACTCCCCCACCTCGTTTATCCTTTCGGTCCAGTCTAAATATTTTATAACCTTCAATTTCGACTTCGGCGTTTTTGACTGATTTGTTCAGCAAAGTTTCTGATAATATATTTATGTGATAATTTGTAACTCGGACAAATTCGCGAAGTTGAAGGAAGTAGTTTCTGTTTTTTAAACATCGAATGTTTAAATGAATGAATGACAATTTGTGTGGAACCTTTTTCGACTTATTCGACGAGAAAGTTGTTAGGTATTAATCTGGGCTGTTAGGTGGAGGAATTTTGCCTTCTTCTATAATACATGTTTGAACACAGCGTGTAAGGACATTAGAGTTCAAATTATCATTTATCTCTTTGTCACACGATTTACGTATTTCAGGTAAAATATCCATACTTGCCTTCGGGGATGGGTTGGAAAATATCGACGTAATTGAAAAGGGAGCGAAGCTGGAAAGAAATCAGAGAAGTTGCCATAATCTGCTGCTGGAGGGGTACGATGCTGATTTTGGTTGTGGATACGATGATTTGCCGGTTTTGGTGTAGGTTTATTAAACCTATTGTGGTTTGAACGTATTTTGTTGTTGTGTTTATTTCTAGCGTAATAGTGTATTTCTCTCCTATGGTTCACGTGTTGTTTGCTAAATGAAACAGCTTGCTGATTATGACCAAGTACTGATGTTTTCTTGTTTTCTTTTATTGGCTGACGTTTTGTTGTGGATATGGGGCATTGACTATCATGTTTGGTTCTACAGTCTTTTAATTGCTGATCGAACGAAGGATTTATTTTTAAATTTGGTCGTTTGTTCTCACGCTTTGGGGGCGGCTCGTTAGTTGTTTGTTTTATAGCGTTTGGTATTAAGGTATGTGATGAGCGTTGTTTAACATGTTTCATCTTATAATTATTAAGTTGATGATTGAATGATTCAGTTGTAACTGGTATTTGCATATCCTCAGGTTCATGATTTTGTAAATTATACAGACTATCGTCTTTTGATTGTTTAGTTAAGTGGATTTTTGGGACCAAGCTATCTATAACTATGTCCTTTGTTTTTGGACCATTGTTTTCGTTAATTTGTATATTATTGTTGGTCTCCATGGTTGAGGCACTGTTGGTGTTAAATGAAGCTTGGCGACGGCCTGATTTGCTTTTTTTAACTTCGTCACTCAGGATCTTTATTTGTTGTTTTAACCTGAGGTTTTTTAATTTTTCTTCTTCGAGTTCCAAACGCATTCGAGTTACCTCATTTACCAAATCATGAGCCCCTGATAATAAGTCATCGTTTATGTTAATCAAAGATTGAATAGAATCTACTCTGCTTTGTAGAATTTATATGTCCAGACTAACATTTTCAATAATCGGGCTTAAGTTCGGTTTGCTCATTAACCATTTCTCTAGGCTCGTTTGATATAGACATAGCCACGCATAGGTTTGTTAGGAAATCCCTAACCTGATCGCCAGTTTTACCATTAAACGTTAGACTGTTTACATTATGGCGTGAAATTGGCTCTTGCATGTAATTGGGAACTGGTTGGTGATCAGTTGATGCCACTGGCACTGGAGTGGGAAGCATGGTTGAAAATTGCGTCGAAAGCTGCTTCGCTACTTCGGCAGTCACTGTGGACACCAGCGTCTGGAGAAGCTCGGGCGGCAAAACAGTCTCCGCAGAAACAGCATCGGTAACAGGAGGAACAGAAACCGTCGGTGCCGTATTAACTGAAGGTGGTTGATTGGCACTGCGCGTCGCCATTGTAGCGTTGATGGTCAAACTACGGCGACTACGCTGCGATGACGGGCCATCAGCTGACGCGGTAGCAGGTCTTTTGCGTTGCTTTTTCCCTTTTGGTGGCATTCTGCAACGGGAAAAACTTGCGAAAAACAGTTTTGAATGTAATGAGAATAATTGATCAACGATAAATGACAACTGCGATTAATATACATCATCGTTGAGCCGCATGAAAAACGATGATAATCGAATAAATTTTTCGCAGGGCAAGTATGGCTGACATTTTTTGAGTCGCCGCAAGTTACGAGCCCTGGATCTGGATGGCCAAAATTACTTATAACCAGACATCTCCACGGAGAAAAGTAGAACAATCTCCAACAACATGGAGAACAGTTCAAATATTAA